TAAAGATTTTATTGGTAGGTTTGCAAATGTGTATCAGACTGTGCAATCTCTCCATGAGTTGGTTTTGAAACCCAGTATGGGATTCTGAGATACATTACCAAGGATAGTATTACAAGATAAATCATTTGCTTCATTGAACACATACAACAATGCATATTTCCACTGAGATCAGTGACCTTTGATGTGTATCACCAGTGATCAGTCAAGTAGAAACAGTCAAAATATTTTATCAGATTTTCTCAATTTTTGCATGATATTTTCATACAGGACATCTGTTGTTCAAACTCAGGGAAGACTTTATACTGATGAATAAGGTGACCAAGTTTGATAAAGTTTGGAATAGAATTAGTAAAGTTATTATGCACACAATAACAATTATTAACGACGACGACGACAACAACAACAACGACGACGACAACGCCATACAAAATTTTTCCCTTAATATACCTTTCCCTTCCATCTTTGATGGTACAGGTAAAAACTAGACAAATCATTTGTTTCAAATATTGGGTACTTCATATATATATAAATATCTCTGTTTTACATGGGGTGTTAATCAGCATTCTGTAATGTGTTTGATGACCAATATCTTCAACATCAGAAGATATTGCCAACATGAATTATTGAAGTCCTTCATAAAAAAATATATATAAATGAAGTCTGTCAGCTAAGCTTTCAATTAGTTAGCAGCTGAATCTAGAATACCCCGGAATCGTAGATTAAACTCGACGGTTTAACTTGAAGGTACGGATTAAGTGATCTCACATGACCTATACTGTGAATACTTTTACACTCAAAAAGATGCAGGGTACATAACCTAAGACAAAAGAATACAATTCGTTAGAATCTGATATTAGCCAATATGAAGTCTAAAACAATCAAAGTTTCACTAGTTAGTCAACAAATCACAACACCTAGGAACAATCAGTAAATCCATCACAATAAGATAAGGTAGCAGGTGGATATTTGACAAAACTTTACTTTAGAACACACACTAGATATTGTGTATGCTAAAATTATACAAAATCTACTAATTCATATTTTCACAACAATAGATGAGATATTGCTGTAACAAATCTTGTTTTGACAATGACTAGACCTTTTGATTCAAACACTACCAATATATAAACGACTGTAAGTCTTAAACTCGTACTGTTTTCTCAGTGATTTTCAGTTAGGATTTCACATATACAAATGGAATGCAACAAATGAATACAAACATATATGATTTTTTTTTTCATGTATTCAACGTCCTTAAAAATTTAATACAGAATCTATATTATTTTTTGTGAGAAAGCTGTTCATGAGAGTTTGTTCTACATAATGCCTTATGAAAGATAAACGATAAATATTTTGATTCTAGTGAATCATAAAGTAGTTCCTTCATTCATTCATTCCACATGAACAGTCGAGTGAATAAAGATCATTCCACCTGCCACCTTTTACCAGTTCTCATGATTACTCCTTTTGGCAGAAATACACAGCAAGACAGATAGATTCAAAGAAGGTAACATGCATTACACCACAACAAATCAAACAGGATATTCTGATGTAGAATTATAAGCTTATGTTGACTTTGTATGATAACTGGTTTGAACCAGTTTGAACCAGAGAATATAATCCAACAGTGACTGGATCAAACCGGTATGAGTCAGATTTATTCAAATCAGTTTGCATGTTTGACTAACCTTCACCTTATGCACAAACTATGAGCAAAGTAAGAATATTTAATTTCACATCAACAAATAAAAAGATGTTTTCAATTATTAACCTTGTTTCTCCCCAAAGTAGGTCATTCAAAGATTAAAAACTTGTACTGAGAGTTCATGCTGCTGAGTCGGCGTAAACCACGTACACCATAGAGGTGAACCACACGCAACCTAAATGCCGGATGAAATGGTCACATAGACGGGAAGGAAAAAGTAAAACAAAGTTAGGGATTAGTTATGTTATCTAGGTAAACACGGGTTGAGGGCTGCATTCCAGTGGTTTGTATTAAAGCAGGAATTTGGCTTTTAGGTGGTGCAAGCAGTGCAAAAGCATTATGGGATATCAGTGATGCAGATGCATTGTGGGATATCAGTACACAGATGTATATGAGACGACAGTGATTCAGATGCATTGTGGAATGAAGTTAACTGAAAAGAACTCAAATAGCCGAGGATGAGTGTGATGAATAAAGGTACTAGCATACAGACACCTGTGTGCAACTTTAGTGCATTTTATCTGGTGTAGGAATGACGATAATGGTAAAGGTGCAAGTTTCGAGTTACCTCAGAAACTTAAGCGATCTGGTGTTAAAACGTTCCAATTTTGTCTGTGTAGGGGGTTGATTTTTTGCATGTAAAAAAACGCCAGGAACAAAAGAAACTAGTGAATAAATTGCACTAGAAATCAACCCACGTTCTCGCACAGAAACTGACTGATGTCGCTGTAACTCGAAACAGGCCTGCAGTTCAAAGGTGAAAGTAACACAGTAATCATGTGCTGAAATAACATTGTATATAGACACATGGACATAAGTGTCAAATATTAAAACAAACATATATGAGTAAGTTAAACCAATAACTCATTGTCGGCCATGTGCTATTATTGGTAAATATATCATGTAATTTACTAATATTTGCAGATTTCCATGAAACTGCCATGCCTTCACTAGATGCCATTGTATCAGTGAAAGCATTGCAATCTTTTCTGCACAACTAGTAAGTTAGGGGGGTCATAAAACTATAATTTCATTTCATTTCACGATATAGACATTATCATGTTTCTGATGTACCCAGCAAGACATATGAACGTGACTGGCATGCTTATCGATGAGTTGAATCAGAATTAGGTATTACTGTGAGTGTTATTTATTAACTAAGAAAATAGACAAACACTAATGAAATATCTTGTATTGTGTGGAAAAAACAATTAGAGAAAATCAAATATAAGATGTCTTTGAATGACACATATGGATATTGACTCCTACTAGAATTTGGTTAAAATTTAGTACGAATAATGATGCATAACATTTACAATTTCTTTATCGTTTAACATATGACAAAACAAACAATACAAACTTACTTTCGACAGTTCTTGGCTAATTTGATGACACTAGCTTCAGTGATATCAGAACAAAAACTTAATTTTAACGTTTCCAAATGTTTGTTGCAGTAACAAGCAATAGTTGAGACACTGTGAACAAAAGTATATGTATATTATACAGTCGGGTAATACCAGGTAATAATAATAATGTTTGGGTAAATCAACAGGTGGTGGAAGTCGGTGCATTCTGGGTGTCAGAGTGTCAGTGACATAATGTGTATGTTTGTATAATAGAATAGCAATGAAGTATCGTACAAGGTTATTAAGAGAATACTGCAAAGTACTGTAAAATACTTCATTTTCGCTTGGAATTAATTTTCGCTGTTTGCTAAACGAATGTTTCAATGTTAATAAAATCCAGCGAATATACCTTTTTTTCTATATTTTACATTCAACTCGCCAAAAATCAGGTGAAAATAAATTCCATACAAAACACCCAAAATGTCACCCAAAAAGTATTTTACAGTATACACGAAGGAAGTAAAGGCAGTACACGATAGTATCAACTGACACATAGAAAAGGTCAGTGTTGGTCAAGGACGTATTCATTATATACATCCAGTATTTTTGAAGTTCTTGGTCGTTTTTTTTTAAAAAAAACACACAAATAGGGCCCCTGATATTGTTAAACAACACCGTTTTTTTCCTAGTTGGCTGCCATGACCTAAGCTATATGCAGTGATGTAAAGGTGTGAATGATATGTAAACAGTAACTGCGCCATAATTTGCAATCATGTGATCAACTGGCCAATTTCCTGTAAGGATCCACCATCTTTTCCTACTTTTCTCATTTAGTGAGATATAACAGCCCAAAATGTCAGCAAAATCCATTTTTTGAAACTCATGCACAAGCGATCTATTTATGTTCAAGTGACATGATTCTATTTTCTGTCAACAATATTGCTATGTCTAATGTAAACAAAGAAGTGTTTGAATAACACTTAAATATGACCCAAACTGATTTTCCGAATAAGAAAGACCTTCACAACACATTGCAAAGTGTCTGCTGATGATGAAAGTCTTTGAAAATTGCTGATTCTGTCTGCATAGGTAATTTATTGCTGTACAAAGTCATATGAGAAAAAAATGGTCATAAACCAAATTTGTAAGATGAACGTGTTATTACTGAATAGATGGGAAAAAAAAGCAAAACAAGATCCATTCATCCAATTGAAAAATGTCTTCCAATTTTTAAATACACTGTAATATAATGAACACCTTTATAATGAATTTCCTGATATAATGAACACAGCGTGTCTCCCGCTCACAAAAAACCCAATGTATTATGTGCTTCATTATAGTGAACATTTCACTATAACAAACTAAATGTCCTCCAAAGAGTTCGTTATAAAGAGGCTACAGTGTAATAACAATAAAAAAATGTGTTAGAAACGATCAGTTATATTTTTAAAAAATTAAAAGGTAGAAGGGTACAGACCTATTTGTAAAGATACATAAGTTTTAGTAGTTTGAACTATTTGATACCTATGCAATAGAGTGTTCTTACATAAAAATCTTTGCACATTCATTTTGAGCAACCAACCCATTCAAGTGTGTTACCTTTTATGATTGATACGTGTAGAGCTGACATCAAGGTGAATCAAACCATGGCAACTCATTGCAATCGACCTTACACCTGTATTACTGATTTTCTTGCATCCGCTTAGATCTAAAGACCTATAAATAATGCATAAATTAATAAAATTCACATTTTTGGTTATTAAATGATGGCATAAAGTATAAGAACAGGAGTGTCAGTGCAGTCTCTATTCTTAGCATTGTAAATTGTTTTATTACTGTGAATCGTAATTCAGTCAATCAATCAAGTGTGAGTGGTCAATGACTGCAGTCAACCATATAGTACAGTTACAAGTATTCAATGATATTTAAGAATTTATTATGATAATTAAACTAATTAAAATAATAAATTAAATAATAATTAGAATGAGGCAAGTTGTTTAGCATGACTGATTGCTCGGGGTGAATAAATGTCACAAATGTTCAACATGTGATTGAGAAGACAAAACAAGCAGAAACACACCGTATTGGATACCTTCTGAGACATAATTAGAGGGATGCTAGCTTGTGAGAACAAAGTTTCCAGGCGAGTGATAACAATTCAATATTTCTGTTAAAAGCATTTGATGCACATGATGGGTCAAGTACTGGGGTAATACAGAGTTTAAACACATATTAGCTGAAAATACACAACTCTGAGCAGTCACGTGGAATCTATACTTGCTTCTGGAACATATGGTCCATTTTGAAGAACACACTTTCAGTGCTGTTGCTACTTAACACTACTGGTAGTTGTATTGTCGAGGTGTAATTTATATTTCAAATTGTGTGTTTGCAATTATAAGTTTCCTGTGATTATAATTTTAAATCAATTAATAATAAATAATCACTCCCATACTCACACATCAGTGGTTATAGAAAAAAGTTACCGGTACTTATAATTCAAAGCAAACCTTCCTTACCTTATTGTTGGTAAGTAAGTTGCAATTTCCACTAAAGCATTGTCAGTGATCAGAGGACAGTTAGCAAGTACAAGACTTCGCAGTTTATGGCAGTTTCTCACTATCTTTCTAATACAAGTGTCTTTAATCTGAGAAAAGAGCAATACAAAAAACACTGTATCAACATGTAGAAAGTGACATTATCATTCAGTAAGGCATACCACCAGATGTTGTTATAGGATATCACTTCTCATGTTTTTGTATGTACAAACACTGTAACCTTGTTATAACGAACAACTTTAAAATGAATTTCCTGATATAATGAACACATAGCATGTCCCCAGCTCATAACAAATCTATCGTGTTATGTGCTTCATTATAGTGAACACTACACTATAACAAATTAATGGTATGCCTCCCCCCAAAGAGTTTGTTTTTTTGAGGTTATAGTGATATTTCTGTGTCTATTTATTAGCAACGTTCATTACCACATTCAAATTCTAATACTAATGTGACTTTATCACTAATATAGGCATAACACAACTGACCAATCACAATAGTGCAGTTACTATGACACAACAATGTGCACTGATAAAACTAAAACAGATCTTTACTCAGATGTACCTTTACTGGGGATATACTAATCATAGAGCAAATAAATAGTAGTGAGAATATTCATTAGTAAGCTACTTTAAAATTCATTATTTTTGCTGAAGAGATGATTTAGTGTAAATAAAATCCAGCGAATATTCTTTTTTATCTATACTTTTTATTCAGCTTGTCAAAAATTAGTGAAAATAAATTTTCATACAAGACACCCCAAAATGCTTTTCAGCAAAAATTAATTATAGCAAAAATAAAGCATTTTACAGTATTATATGAATTAATTTCACATCACATACCTGCTTACATCCCCTGAGATCAAGGTGTTCAATGTTGCTAAGAGACAATGCTAATTGAGATATACATGCATCCGTCAGCTGAAAACAAAACAACACAAAAATACGCTAAATACAAAATAACCATGAAGACTTTTATACATGTATGCAAGACAGCACAGGAAGTATCAAGAACATATTTCAGAAACAAGTCCTGTGAACCAGGATAGTATACAGTAAATGGTTTAATTTTCATTACTAGCAATTTTCATGATGTCAAAATCTTATAGAAATTGTGAAGACAAAAGTTTTGGGAGGTCCCTTCATGTCTAGGATCCCACAGAAATTGTCACTGCTACAAAATATTCACCGACTAGTGAAAATTCATCCCTCATGAAATTAAAGTGATCTACAGTATATACAGTTTACAGTGTTTGTGTTCAAACTTACCTTGGAGCAGTTTGCCAGGTTGAGTGTATCTAGATTCCTACAGCAGCTCCCCAGTATTATAATACAATTCGCAGTTATGTTGAAGCAGCCAAACAATTCCAATACTTCTAGACTGTATGTCAATCAAAATAAAATCATTTTATACATTGTGTGTGAGTGTGTGTACCACAGTTAAAGAATCAGTTTACAAATAAACATCCCAACGACATTAAACTGTAAAATAATTTATTTTCGCTTGGAATTAATTTTTGCTATTTTCGCTGAAGGAATGATTCAGTGAAAATAAAATCCAGTGAATATACTAGTTTTCCTATATTTTACATTCAACTCATAAAAAACCAGTGAAAATAAATTCTAGCTAAAATATTTTACAGTAGACAGTGTGTGCTAATACCTACCTGTCTGAATGTTTATTGATGAGAGCAAATACTGCTTCATCTGTAATGCTTTGACAACCATTTAAACACATAGTTTCCAATCTAGAAAAACCAATGACAAGAATCAGTAAAGATATGCATTTCAATGCATCACAAGATAGTGAGTATGCCGATAGTTTTCCTCAATCACCAAATAAATGTATGCACATACATCCCAACAGTTGTTGCTGGCTAACATACATTTAACACAGAAATTCCCTATATAGTAATTCCATGTGACAGGCCTGAACAAAAAAAGCCTGAACAAAAAAAAAAATTGGGAAACCAAACAAGTTTTTTAATTATGACCCTCAGCTGCATGAATGTTCACATCATAATGCAGTCCATGATTATTTCTTTTTATCCATATGAATCAGAAATATGCAATCTCATTTGTATTAAAAGATAGAGCATCACATAATTTTTACTCTATGTTTTGGCTTCTCTGTCTACACATGTATTATGTAAAAAAATCCACAACAAGATATATGTTTCATAATTGAAAGTTAATAAATGCTAGTATTATGTATATGTATTAAAGTGTAACTGAATTGGGCCAATTGACTTTTTTTTGCGCAAAATTTATTTATAAACAACATTGTGAAAAATGTACATAAAATAAATAAACAATCAATAATAATATTCACTTGATATTCACTTGATTTTTTTTCATAATGTTGTTTATAAATAAATTATGCTGACAAAAAAGTCAATTTTCCCAATTTAGTTACACTTTAAGGTTGAATTAGATTCAAAAAAACATTCTCTGAAACAGAAACAAACAAACATTTCCAAATTCTACCATATGTGGCATACTTCACCATAATGTGAAATTGCCATAAAAAAAATGTGTGATGATGAAAAGCAGAAACCCTAAGGCAGGCACATAAAATTGATTGCTATAAGATTGTTGCATGGAACTCGCCAAATCTGTATTTATGCATATTTTACCTGTGTGAACTGTCAACTACTGCCATCACAGCATTGTCAGTAACATTGCACCAGCTTGCATCCAATGATTTCAGATTAGGACATCTTGTAACATGCAATAGTACGGAATCTCCAGTCAACTCACCCTGGCTGCATCCACTGATGTTTAACTCCTGTACAATGGAATACAAATAAAAACAATGTGTGCATGTGTGTGTTCTAGGGCAGAGTAAACATGTAAAAATATGACAGAACCCTTGTCCAATTGGAGGGGCATAGAATTTAGTGTGATTAATCCTCCTACATGTACCATACACAGTATCATATGAGAAATTATATGTATGCATTGACTGATAATTCTGGCATTATAGGCTTTCTACTTTTAACAATATAGACCATTTTTAATTTATTGCAGTCATGAGTGGAATTGAACGCAAAAATGAACAAAGGTCATAGCGTTATAGTGGCATCAGAACATCGTGTGGGAATCAACAAAGACAAAGGTATTTTTGATGTATTTTCTCGCTTAACAATGTACTACTGTAAAGAGGTTAATTATTCACTCGGTTTTAATTTTGCTCATTTTGCAGACTGGAAAATGTGCTAAATTAAAACCCAGTGAATATGTAAAATTGAGCATAGAACATATTATCTAAACAATAAAACCGTGAAATGCTAAATCAGTGAAATACAAACCCAGTGAAAATTAGTAATTTTACAGTATACACATTTGATAATAATGCAATATTCTTCTCTGAATTATCAGCATTTTGACAGTCAGCTATAAAATTCAAGTTCAAAATCAAATCTTGATTTTTGTGACAGACGTATGTATGGTTCACTCATTTCATTCAACATGTGAAATCTCGCAGTAAACCCTCAGAGGGGATGTGTGAATGAAACAGTTTATTTAATGATTGATGTGGTTAACACACTTTCGACTCTATTTATTCCCTGTGACTGGCTATTTGAAAGTCTAAAGAAAAATCTTTATTCAAAATGACCTCAGTATGTCATATTGCTATTGGAAAACGTCCTTGTTTCCACAGAAACAAGTTCAGGTACACCCTCAATCCATCCCCAAAGGGAGATTGCTGTTGGGCCACATGATGTTCAATGTGGAACCCACATGATGTATACAACATGCGTAAAATACGTTGTTTGTTTACATGAAATTCAAACACATGGTGTACAATGAGCACCATACTATACTATACTAATGTAATACTAACCTGTAAGCTATCACTGCAGGATCTGAAGAGACTTCTCAGTCCGGAGCTTGTTATATTGTCACCTTGACATTGTAAAAAAGACAAACTAACAGGATGCTTCTTGCCTATCTGTTCCAGCCAAGTATTGCACAGTGATTTCTTTTCAAGAGTTATTTGCTTCCCTGTAATAAAGGGAACATAATTTTTTTTCAAAATGGTGAAGGGATTGGTGTATGCATTCTATGCTATGGAATAAAAAACCACACCTTGTAATGCAGCTCACATGCACATAGGACTTGCCTGTACAGTGTTTATGAAAGCATCGCTACAATGGCTTAGGGTTTGAGTCAGAAATAAGTATAACTACAATTTGCACTTACATAAAGTTTCATCTCGACAGATTCTATTAAACAAGAGACACACTTGAGTACAAGCAGCAAGGTCTTTGTGACTTAAATAGGAAAATATTGTCAACAACAGCTCATCAGGTAATAGTTGCCATAGTGAGACATCATGTCCACCCCTTGGACTCTGAAATCACAATTAATATGAAAATAATTACACAATAACACGATACATTTATTTATTTATTTATTTATTTACATTTTCTCACCTCCTTGGCCACTGGGAGTGTGAGAACACTGATGTGAGAATATATCGACCCCACACTCTGTATGTATATGCGTACATGAAGCGGTTTTGTAAACAATTCTCTGATTCGATAATATTAGTACATCGACAGACGAGCTTGTAATACTGTCCAAAGATACAAGCTGGAACTAGAAAGTGAGTAGGTGCCAACAGAAACTTGGCTTCAGAAATGACAAATGCTGGATAGTCGGTATAGACAGACACGTCAAACAGACATTTCAACAACTTATTTGAAGTATCATAAATGTGTTATAAAGTCTCATCTGTGGAAGACATGAAATGTTCAACAAAAAGACTCAGAGTTTATGTGGGCATCATCTTGTAGCCGCAATTGTTGAACGTCAACAGATTTGCCATCAGTCGCTACTTTACATGTATGCATTTTAGGTGTATAGTTGAAATACCATATATTGTTTGTGTCATTCGCGATTCAGGCTTATATATTTCCATCTAGTCACGTTTGGCATGTTCATTACAGGGTATTTTGAGCTGACTTTTTAGGTCAGTGAGTATTCATTGTTCAGTGGTTAGCATGTCCATCAATAGTGTGCTCTTGTTTGAATCCAGTGTCACTGTACATGTTGTGAGTTAGTATGTAAATGCTATTTTTTTGTTCGTGTACCTGTAACTATATAATCATACTAGTTTTTGTACAGTGAGGTTCAAA